TGAAATTTGGCCAAATGTGAAGAGGATGCTAAATTTACTTTTTTTATTTTATTTTTTACTGTACTGTGTTGTGGTGCATGCCAAGTTCATACAATTTGAACTTTTCTAGTGCTTTTCATCTACTGCAAGATTACTTTACAGAAGTAAAATGAAAACTATTTTTTTCTCAAACGTTCATTGCTGAATTATACATCTGTATCTGTAATTTAATTTATGTATACTGTAATAGACATTGAGGTGCAGAAATAATTCCTGAATCCTAGTAAGAGTTTTTTGTTACAGTGTTATTGATCTCAGTGTTCACTGGGCAGGAAAGTCATCTGTGTATTTGAATTGTGTGTAAGCATTTACAGTCTTTTTCAACTGCGTACACACAAAATCTTTACTTGTCACACAATTTCTGAAACTTGACACAAACACCAGAACCACACACCAAATCTGCAAAACCATACACTAATTCTCGGGCTTTGACTCAGTTTTAAATTTCATAAAACACTTTTTGCAAAAAACAACACACAATTCTCTATGTAACACACAAAACTTATGGCAAAGGTATGAAGGTAGAATGACGTCAAAAAGATTTGCATGTGCAGGGTAAGAGTTGTGGAAGTGTACATAAGACCGTAAGCGTAAATTAAATTTGCATGCGCAAGAGAAGCTTTGTAATGGAAATTACGGTTCAATCGTAAGAAAAAATTATTTGCAGCATTTTACTGCTACTCGTAAGTGTAATTCAAGTATTGTGAAACTGCAGCTTCATGCTAACGCAAAATAAATATTATCTGCATTCTTCTGACTTCCATTTTTCCGCGCTTTTGGCACGTTGTTTTCGCTAAAATATGGTCAAAAGTACTACAAGCCTGTGAACAGTGATTTGCAAGCGAAAACAACCCAGCAAACATTGGTCCGACGGCAACGTCGTGTCCCTGGCCAAACCGTCGCGGTAGGACGGCATAAATCGGTAAAAATATGTAACACAGAACATTTCCTAAAAATGCATTCAGATACGTTTGTACATCTCTACAGTTATCTGGGGTTGCATGTATAATTGTTACCTTGACTTTTAGCTATGTGCAGTACAATATGTATAC